GTCTGCTAAATGACTAAATGTAAATATGCAATATGTTGATCATACGAAGTATAAAAGTTAAAACAAAAATAGAGCAAACTGTCTTATTTATGTAGGGCCGACAGCGACTACAGCAAAGAAAATGTCAGAGCAGTGATGCTGATTTGAAGTAAATTTGGATATGAATACCCCCCACCAAAAAAAAGAAAGAAAAACATTCAAATTTTCTAGATTTTTTAAATAATGTACCAAATGAGAAGGTAACCTGTATAATTTACAGTTTCCTTTCCTAAAATTGGCATGTACCTGAAATACTTAATAAATAATAGAAGTTAATTTCTGATTATCATAGAAACCAGCCATTATTGGCACTTCATTTTTTTTATGTGGGGAAAGTTTTATTTGTTGAAACAGTAAACATCAAAAGTTATGGTTATTACTTATTGGTAAGTTAACCAAAGGGGTAATCAGAAAATAGTAGATAATCGTTAGATTAATCAACTAATCCAAATAAATAAATAGGGGGGGAATTATTGATGACTAATCATTAATAGCAGCACTAAATTTATATGAATCTAGAGATGAATCTTGATCAGTATTTTTTCTGTAATAAAAACATTTTGGGAAAAAAAACAGTTTTTTGCTTTTTTTAAGAAAATAATGAAAATTAAAAGGTGTTCAATATAAAAATGTATTGTTTTTTGTGACACTAAATTATGAGGATTTTGTTTTAAATCGTCAGGCATGATGTCAGGCTAAAATTATTCTTCAAGTAATAAATTAATGTAGAGAATATTGTTCCTCTTCTTTCAATAAAGCAACCATGTCATTAAGCTAAGACAATACATTTTTTATTTGACACTTCAAAAGTGTGTTAATCACATTCCAGCTTGAAATAAACCTGACTGAAAGCCATTTAGTGAGGTGCTCAGATCAGAGGAGTCTACGTCATCAGAGGTTTTGTGCGAGTCTGTTGAGCTCCTGTGAGAGGCCAGTGACGGTGTCGAGGATCCTCTGTCTATCAGACTCCTGCAGACGGCCTCCACAGCGCTGGACAAACTTGTCTGGGTGCCAGAGGGTCTGCTGGCGACGGAGCACCTTCCGAAAAACAGTCGAATCAGATCGATCAGCACCGTGCAACATAACACCCACCATTTCCTCCAGCGAACCGCGAGGAGCGGGCCAAGGGATGTCGTCGTATCCCAGCAGTCCTTCAGGCCCTTTGCTCGAGGAGCTGTGAAACGTGGCGGCACAGCGCTCCTCATAGCGCCTCTTCCTCCCCTGCCGCGTCTCCTCCTCCTTACGAGCTGCACGCTGCAGGTACTCCTCATGCTCCCGCTCCAGCCTGGCTCTCAGCTCCCTACGACTCCTCTCATCCTCCTCCGTCTCCTTCCGCCGCTTCGACCTCTTCTGACCCGAAGAAGCCGCTTCCCTCTGTTCTTTGGCCCGTTGCTTGGCAAAATACTCCCGTCTGATCCGATCCGCCCAGTCTCCGAAGTCTACCTCGTCGTCTTTATCATCCCATACAAAGTCATCTGGAGCGAACAGGACATATTCATACAATATACTGTAGCCTCAGCTTTGGAGGACCAGTCCATTCACTGACTGTCTGATGCTTAGTGCTCACTTTATTGATCTGGCAAGCTTGAATCTGATTGGCTGGCATTGCACAGCCTGCTGCATTCAAGGGTCTGAATAGATAATGGTCAATGGAACTTTTTAAAATAACAATAATAATAATAATTAAAAAGTAATTAAAGTAACTTAAATATTTAAAATGTTTGCTAATTATAATTTAGATAATTTAGTATTGTACAAAAATACAATACAAATGCAATTTATACAAATATTGACTTAAATACTCATGAGCATGTTTTTTTAATTTCTGTATTAAATTATTTCTGTATTAATTAGATTGGAATATAATATATTTTATATATAGAGTTATACATAAACTTATATATTTTGGAGGCCATGAAATCAAAATTATCAGGGTGAAGAAGTATAATGGAAAACAAATTAAATCTAAAGGAGTAATTTTAGTACTTTGGAAAAATTGTTTATTAGTATATCTTAAAAAAAACAATCATTAAAACTGCTTGACTCCTTATTAATATTTGAAAGTCTTCTTTCCACAAAATTAAAGTCAAGTGGTGCAACCAAAAAGTGATATAGAGAGGACCACTGTAGACCTTAATAATAATAATTCATAATATTTGTCAATTATTCATAATTATATTTAAAAACTACAAAACCTAAATGATTAAGATCATGTACACTCATGTATTCAAGGTCTAAAGAAAATATGTATTTTATACATGATGGTTACACCACATGACATTTTTAGAAATCGAAACTTATATTCAAAAAAATTATTGAAGTTTTTTTTTTAACCAACACGAATACATAGAGTACATTTCTAAGAACTTGACACGTGTCAAACAAGATTTTTAAAATAATCTCAATTTTCTTTAACTGATAAATCTATGTATTATTTTTCAATAGACTCTATTGCGTGGAATAGCCAGCTAAAAATATAATAGTAATAGCGCAGGATGTTCAAGCTTACCATCATATTGTCCGAATGTCTCAAAAAACTCATCCTGACATTCACCCAACAGCTTCTCTCTCCATTGTTTCTCTGGATCAACATGCGAGGATTCATTTTTGATGTTCCCCTGTTTCAGTTCAATTAACACGAGACATATTATTAACTTCAAGATGCATAACTAAAAATGACAGCTCCATCTGTTGAACCTGTCCTTAATATAACCAAATAATTACTAGTTTAATAGTTTAGACGGAAAGAGTGTCTATTTTCACAGCACCTGCTCAGGCTTCATCCACTGGAGCAGGTCATGAGGAGTCACTCCTGCTTTATTAGAGATATCCATGGCTTCTGGACAGTTTTTTCGCAATGGCACCACCAGGTCATCATAAGCTGTGATGAATAAGGTGAGCAGCATTAAAACAGTTTAATGGGAGAAAGAGTTTGTTGATATTACACGGTCTCTTACCTCTTTTGCCATGTTTGAGGGCTCTTTTTGCGGCCTGATGTAGCGGTGTGTCTCCATTTCTGTCGGGTTGAAGGGGGTCTGCTCCGTGTTTCAGCAGCAGTCTGAG